AGCAGGAATAAAATAGTCTTCCACATCAAGAGAGACCTGATGAGCTCCTTGCACAGCCTTATTGCACTGACTCTTTAAGAAGCATTTTCTAGTTGTTTATTGCATTGAAAACAAAATAGGTGAAAAGATAAGCCAACTAATTTGCTCCATTCTTAGTTGCCTTTGAGATCTCTTTCCACATTAAAAGGTCTTTTGGAATTTGAATTCTTCCTGCCTAATGCCACATCAGGATTAACAAAATTATATTAATTTTTTGAAGCTGGACATAGGACTCAAGCTATGGTAATGCATTCAAAGAGATAACACACACAAATCCACAAGTGTCTCCTGTGTATCTTCATGTGCCAACACACACATTTGTCTGTACTCACCAGTTCCTTAGATACAACTACAGTAAATATCTACACTGAATATGGCGAAATAGACCTGCTTTTGACAGACATGTACTTACTTCTATCATCAGTGACAGCAGCCATGGATATTTCTGGATTTGTCTGTTGCTTCTTGGGTGATGGATGTCCTTTTATTAGTCTTACATTTGTTTCAGTTTCTGTTCCCGAAGACTGAACTTTGGACGTTAGTAATGTTACTCAGCTGAATATTTCCCCACAGTGACTTGGTCTTATGCAAATAAACAACCCCACTGGGTGAAACTGGAAGCAATTTCCTGGCAGCAAAAGATTGTAAAAGAGGGTGAGTCCCATTCAGAAGTGGCTCTGGAGGTGCAGACAAAGTTTCCCGCCAGAAGCTGGAATTAACAGTTGAGCCATTTTTCTGCAGTGCAGAACAGAAATTATATCTCTTTATTACCACTAGCCCCAGAATAGAAAAGCAACTCTTCTCTAGTCACCCCAATGCACCAAGAGAGAAAGAGCATCTACCCAAATGGCATCAAGTCACATAGCTATAACTTTTCTGGCACCCAGATATCATCAGAAAGTTGAGCAGAACGTGGTGGAGAGAGGGAAACAGAAGACATCATCTGCAAAAGCTTGTGATTTTATGGATGTCCAGCAGGTGGTGATGGTTACTGCCATTTCCCTTCATGGGACCATTCTGTGGAGCGCCAAGGGCCACTCCAAGGACCCTTGAACCTGGCCCCTCATGTAAGCAAGGACGACCCTCAATATGTGTGAGAAGACATCTACAGCTGTGGTCAGCGACTGGGCAGACACTCAGGCTAACTCTAAGCAAGCTGCCCAGCATCCGGAACAGCTATAGCAGTGGACAGCTTGTTGTGGGGAACACCCAGATATTTATGAAACTTCACGACTGAGAAGAGCTCTGTACTCACATGGCCATCTTGAGAGCAAGAAGTGAGCCATCTGATGAGTATCTGCAGAAGCTATTGGTCATGACAGATCAGCTCCCTGATGTAGAAAGAATAAGCTTTTACCAGTGCCCTGAGAAATCCGCTCAGCATTATGAACTGGGCATCACCTTCCTGTGATCTGTTCTGTAACTCAACAAGATACAGCAAAAAATATTTCCCATTTAATCTGAAAAATGAGTGAAACAAAGCTAGTTGCTAGTGAGAAGCTTTCCTCTGACTGACACACCCAAAACTGGCTTGCAGAGCAAAGGGATTGCAAACGGCTTCTTCATATGGCTTAGCTAGAGATGACTGTGCTGAGTCAGTCTCTACCACAGCTTTCTCTGGTTTTGTGACACAACTATTTTGTGGCCTGATGCAAGCTGCAGAAATGGATTCCTGGTGAGCCATCATCCTGTAATGTGCACTCCCTGAGGACAAAGCCATTGCCTTCCTCAACACCAGGTCTGACTTGGGATTGTAAAGCTAGGAGAGTGATTTATTTGTATTCTTCGAGGCCAGTCCTCAATATTCTATTGTCAAAAAATAATCGATTTCCTGCAAGGGCAGAACAAACAGAAGTGAACATGAATGGTGGAGTACAGAGGGAGGAGGGATTCAGGCACTGGCAGGACCCTCTGTGAAGGAGAAGGCTAGTCATGGCAGGTTATCAGGCAGCGCACTGCCAACACAGCATCTGACTTCAGGGCCTCTTCTGCTGCAAGGTCACCACTTACTTCACACCACAGAATTGTTCCCTAGTAGTTGCATTAGCTCATACCTTAGGAAGAGTGAATGGCATCAACTCAGACACTCAGAGACTTTTTGAAACAAATAAAAAAAGCGTTTGACTAATGTGTTTTTGAGTTCATGGACATGATACTCAGTAAGGCCAGAAATGGATTGATACTACAGTACTCTCTTCATTTCCTTGTCTCTGCAGTAGATATTTACAAATATGTAGTTGTAAATTAGGCTTTGAGATGCTTAGTCTGATCTGCAAGAAATGGCTTGATTTGCAGCAGTGCTCAGTAGCAGTAGTTTCTGGTATAAAACCAGCAATGTGCCACAGAAATCAGAGAGAGAGAAAAAATTAGTCCAAACAGAAGTAGGGAATTTGCAATGCAACATTTCCAGGTGTCTCCAAGAAGCTGAATGTGCTCTATGAGATGGTGAAAAACCAAAAGAAAAAAAAAAAAAGGAAATGTCATTCTGTCGTTCCTGCCAGCCTAATGTGAGGAAAGGAATCCCTTCCAAATCCAGCAGTTGGCTTAACCCTAACAAAATCAGAAAGACAAGGTTACCACACAAGTGAATTTTCATGCTTCTAGAAGAACTTGCGCATCCTATCTACGGGAACCAAACTTCAGTGCTTCAGAGGATGATAACCTCCAGAAGGGTCATATATCTGGGTCGGAAAACTCCTTCTTGGCCTTTATGAGCAAACAGCAGTAATCCAGTATGCCTTTAAGTTGCCACATGTCTGCATATATATGGGTGGGACTTCATATTACTCAAACAGCTGTGACCAAAATATTTTTTTCTATTTCTCATGCTGTGAATTATCTCCCCTTATAGAAGTTACTTAAGATAATGTTAGAGATAAATGTGAAGGTGGTTTGTGATGGTGAGCTATTGGTAACATCTGAATATATCTCACCCACTCCAGCAAATGGATTTTTTTAAAATAACCACCACCCTCATATGCACACCTCCTGAACATAAATGCATTTTGGAGGAACATACACAGCAAAGGGCACACAAAATGGTGGACATACATTCACTCATGACTCCTTTAGCCACCAGGTTCCTTAGACCTCCACAATAATATTCCCTTTGGTGGTAGTAGAGCTATGCTGTATACATATGACCAGATTCACCAGGGGGTAATCATCTAGAATCTTCACAGTTTCTTCAGAACACTTTGCAGAGGAACTTCAGGGTACATGCTAGGCGATAGAGAGGTGGACAGAGCCACAGGGAGCAAGCTCCCTACAGATGTCTCCCAGGAAACAGACTTCAGCATAGTAGTCCTGCAGCATGACGGTATTACAGTAGTGGTGTCTACTGGATGTACCACTCCTCTGACTTGTCTCACTGAGCCAGCTGTGTCTCAAG